CTGTGCAGGTACTCAGGGAAACAGTATGACTGTGAGGAAAGGAAATTGTCATGAACTTGACTGCAAAAGCTCTAAATGGTTTTCATATTCCCATAATGGTAAGCGGATTCAGCCAGTTAAATTATGTAAAATATAATGAATGAAACTGTGATTAGTCAGTAGTGGCTGATGCCCCAGTTCTATAACACGTCATTCATCTGGATGCTCTAGAATACTTATTGCAAATCTTGTAGCAAAGGTGGCAATCAAGTAAGAGATAAAAATATGAACCCTTTTGCTTATGTTTAGCTATTAAGAACATGTATTTATTTAACCAGGTAGTGGCAAGAGGCATCTTGAAAATTGACTGATTTAGAGAAGTGTATTTTAACTACAGGCTAAAAGCTGGAAAACTCCAAACAACCATCCACACAGGTTAATCCTGTGAGCACAGGTCTGGAAGAGGCTGGAGAAGTCTGCTTCTGGAAAAGTCTGCATGACAGTACCTGCACTGTCCCATAGAATTCTTCATTTGGGCTAAAGTTTCAGACTGGCTTTGTTTTAATCTTCTCTACGTAAATCAGAACCTGATCCTGTTTGGTGATGCTTTGTGACCAGCATGTTTGAGTGGCTTTGTACAGCAGCTTGTCCTGTGAGAATGGGACTGTGCATGGGTGGGATGTCACTTTGGAAGTGGCTGAGGTGACAAAACTCTTCAGCCACTCATCTTTCTTTTTCCTAGTTAAATAGTAGCAATTATCCAAAGTCCAATCTCTGTCACATGTATCCATCACAGTGTTCAAACTGGAGACTTATTAATTGGTTACATACTGCACGTCACATTAAATCTGTATTTTCTTCTTTATGATGCTTTAATAAAAATAGTGTATGCCTATTTACATATGTTTCTCACAGATAACATTTCTTTAAAGTCCACTGAAGTTTATTTTTGCTTGAAAGCCTATTGCAATTTGCCTTCAAATATACAGCACAAGTAGAGATTCACATTTAAAAAGTCACAGAACTTTTTATGGTTTCCATCATTTTTTTCCCCTCTTTTTTCTTTTTTTTTCTAGGCTGGCATTTGGTTCTGTGGGCTGGAAAAACTGCTTTCCCCATTAGTAACGTCTTTTCCTATTAAACAAATCTTGTTGATGTAAAAGAAATTTTCCATCCAGTGGTTTGGCATTGCTGAAGTGTACTGAAAAGCTGGTACAAACTAGTCTGGAGAACACCACTATTTTAATGAAAAAAATGAACCTATAAAGGCTCATAATGGTCTTCAGGCTGCCCTGACACCAGGGCAGAACCAAGATGGGGACAGTGACCAGCAACTACCTGAGGATGTCCAGGCATGGCTGGGGCTATGGGGCAGTTCCATGGCCCAGCCAGGGGCCCAGCAGGTGAAACTGGGACAGCAGGGTCTGCCCCAGACAGGGGTAGAAGCCCCCAGTGCTCTTCCTCACCACAAGGAGCCGGCCTTGGGTGGTGGCTGCAGAGCTCCAAATGTCCTGGCCCTGGCCTGGTTTGGTCCCCATAACCAGCAGGATCCTCCTTTTGGTGCTGCCTGTTGCCTTCTGCCCACCCCACAGGGGTGTGACAGGACTGCAGCCTCCCAGCCTGGCCCTGGTATGACCTTTGCTCCTTTGGCACGCCTGGGCACAGTCCTGATGCACGACTATTTTTGCTCATGCTTTAATCTGCTTAACATTTTTACCAGAAATGTTTTCTCTCTCCTTGGCAGCGTCGTGTGTGTTCAGTGTGTTCAGCCATGAGCGGCCACTCGGTGCCCCCACGCTGGGCCATGCCCAGCTTCGGGCTACACCACTCCCACCTCACCTTTTCCTGAGCAGAGCTTCCTGGCGTCTTTCTCAAAGTAAATTTGGAAACTACAGCCTTATTAACGAACCCTGTCAAACACACTTTGTGAGGAAAGGTACCACATCAGTCTTCTGTGTGAGCGTACGTTGTCTCTCCGGCCAGCAGAAAAGCCGTGGGCTGAAGTGCAGTGGTAGCAGTGCTCCCTGCCCTCCTGTGACATAAAAAGGAAAGCCAAAATAAAACACAGAGTAAATTAATTTTTAATTTTTTATGATGGCAGCACAGGCACTTCTCACAGCAGGGCACAGAATCATTAGAGACTGATCTGTCCTAACACGTACAGAAGTACTTCTGTAATTATCTGAGTACAATTTCTTTCCAATCTGGTAAGACTTGCCTCCTCAGCACTGACTCAGTCCCTGTGGCATCAATGACTCTGCTTTCCAACATCCCCACTCCTGATCTCGGAGGGCATCAGCTCATCCTCACGAATAATGACGGCCTTGTGCATGAGTCTAACATGGAGTGTGCAGGGGACACGTGCACGAACCACAATTTCACCAACGGTGACTAATCAAACTACTTAATTCTTCCATTCCACAGAGCTGCCTGACAGTTCACAACAATTAAATAACAAGATATGTGGGAGAAGCACACACGGTAATGCCTATACCATGCAAAATATGTTGACCTTTTTGTGTCTGCAGGTCTGGCACAACCTGCACCCCGGTTGCTGCCATCTGCCCACACCAGCACGGTCGGCTGCAGGCTGATGAATAGATTTGCTCTGGAGGAGTCAGTGCTACCAGGCCTTCCTGCATCCCTGCAACACCCTCCCTGCCTTCCTGTGCTCTTCGACTGCTGCTCATCCTGCTGCAAATAGTGCAGTCACAGCCAGCTGTTAGGATCTGATTATTAAAAGATACCTCTGCCCAAATTAAGGTGCAAAAGAGACCACATACCAAAGTCAATAGCATGGATTTTATTTGACAGTAAATGTGAGGGAGAGAAAAACAGGAAGAGGGGGGAGGGGGAGAGAAAAAGAGTGAGAGAGAGAGAGAGATTAAGTAAAAGATCACCACCACATGGATTCTGTTGGCATGCCCGCTTTTTCTGATCTTCTCGGTGGTGGAAGTCCCGAAGTTGTGCTTCTGGAATACCACTTTTATACAGTTCAAGTCCTGGATATTCACAGGGCATCAGGAGATGTTCCCACAACTTGGAATGGCATGGGTGTAAGTAGTCGTTTTCTTTCCCACAGCTTGCACAGTGAAATATTGGTTTGCTCATTTCAAACCTTTGCCTTCATTGAGGTTTGGAATTAACACTTTTCTTTCTCACAGTTTTCCACAGAGGGAGTCTTTGTCTGGATAGTTACCCAGATCTGCCTTACCAGGCCTGGTTCCTGTTGTTGCCATCTGCTTTTATCACTGGTTCCTTTTCTGGTGACTTATCTTATGGGAATTTCTTTCTTTGACCATGTTTTGAGACAATTAAGTCCTCATTTTTAAGTCCTGACACCAGTACAGTCCTTTATCTCACCTTACTTACTTGTTTTGAGCAACTGCTTTTAAGAATGTGTTTCCTCCTTCCCACAGTGTTAGTCACAGCATTTCTATTCATCTCTCATTTACCTGTCAAAATCTGGTTAAGGACTCTGCATCCTCCTTTCTAATAGCTGGTGACACTGCAAATCACTACCAGAGCCCGCAGCTGGCGAGTAACTTCTGTGCCACACAAAGCAAAGACAAATCACTCGTCTACAACAGTATCACTCAGAAAAAAATATTTCAGCTGCATCTGATAAGACAGCTGCAAAATATGTACAGCCTTTTGGTGTATAAGAATATGAAGTATGTGGAAAAAAATTATTTCTGGATGGCGCTATCAAAAATGTTTAGCACATGGTTAGCAGTTTCCAGTCAAGTGGAAGATAAACCTTTTATAGACTGCAGCGATTTGCTGTCAGTGGCACTTTCAAAAAGCTCAATTCAGATCAACCAGGTTAGGAGGTGATACAGACATTTGTCAGCTAAACAAAGGAGATTACAGACCCGAGGGTGAGATACAAAATAAGGCATTTAATTGCATAAGAGTCAATGAAAGTAGCACATGAACCTATGGAATTGTATTCATGCAATTAGTTAGTCCTATTAAAACATCTGATAAACTTGCTACCCCCTGAGGATGAGTTGTAGCATTGAGCCTCCAGTTTAATTGTCTTATAGAATGTCTGAGATGTGAAAAAAAAAAATGGTTTTCTTCCAATGTTTAGGTGTCCTAGATTGGATAGCAGCAGAGGGCCATATTAGCTTCTGTGAGATGAAAGAAATTTAATGCATACTGATTATATTTTACTGCTATAAGCAAAACAGCAGCACTTTAAAAGAGTAAAATGCTCTTTCTATAAATACTACACATATATTGTAGAATGAAATTCCTGGTTCCAGAGCCTGATCCTTTTTTGTGAAGGAAGGAAGCGCGATGGATGTTGCTATATTGCCCTCTCGTGGGTCGAACCTGCAAACAGCAGCTCAACGTGCCGGAGCTGCCACTGGGTCACTCACGGGATTTCAGCGGCCTGAGCTGACAGCCAAGGCGTGCCCTGCCTGAGGAGAAAGGACTGAAAGATCGGCACGTGGTAAATATGTAGTCAAATAAGTCCATTTCCCCCTAAATTCTCTGTTTCTATATTTCTGCAGAATGCAGCTCTGAGGATAGGTCCCCGTGGGAATTGCAAATGTTGTCCTGTAACATCAAAACAATAAGCAGAAAAAATACAGTACCACTCCTCTTCCCAAGTCTCTTTCTGCAGGACTTGATGCAGCAAACAGTAATTAAAGAGCAGGAGGATGAACAACACTATTTGGTGGCAGATGAAGCACAAGCCAGAAGTGAAGGGAACATACCAGGAATGACAGTCGACACACAGATCCATTTTGCTGTGCTGTGAGTGATGTCATCTATCACACAGAGTGCTGCAATTGCCTCCCACATTGCTGAATCTCATCTCTATTCTGTCCTGCTCTTCTGGGAATTTTAAAACAGCATTTTCCTGTCTAGCCAAGGTACTTTTGTCACCCGTGCTGCGAGAGTTGTCTGAGTACTTCATAGTCTCTGAAATATTTATCCTCTCACTTTTCTTGTCAGGTAAGAAAATTCTCCATTTTGCAGATGACAAAGTAAGGCACATGGATTAATTCTCAGTTCAAAAAAGAGATTTATTCATGCAAAGTGGTGCTTAGGCAGAATTTAAGAGTCTATATCCAAAATGTACATTGTGAAAAGCCCTGTTCAAGGGTCGGAGACGTCTGATGGCATGCAAGGAAGCTGTCAGGGAGTTCCCTTCTCTGCCTAAGGGAGAGGAAAAATGACAGCAATTCAACTCTTTGTTATAAGCCATTTATTTCTGTATATGAAATAAAAGTTCTGAAATAAAACTGCATTCAGATAAGACTTTGCATGCAGCCTCTGCTACTCATAACCACCTTGGGGTGGAGGAGGAACAGCTTACAAAGCTCCCAGAAGGGAAGGAATCAAGGTAAGATCTTGTCCTCCCATGCTGTGACTTGCTGAGGGAAATGCTACCTCTCTTGTTTTATGCACACTGGACACCTACATCCCCAGGGAAAACCTTCCCTGAGAGCCTGCTGCAGCATCAACAGCCAAGCTACACACGGCCTTGACTTCACTGAGCTGACCAGATAGACTTATGCTGAATTTGTGAGGCTGTTTGGGGCCTGACCTGCTGTTCAGAATTCATTTCTCAACTCTGAACTATCCTGTTGTTAAGTTAAAATGACTTTATCACAAAACAGGATGCCCCACTTCCAACTGATAACCTATAGCACTACTCTGGGAAACACCAAACCTGCATCCTAGGCTCTTCTAATCCCATGAAAGTTTGAGCCTTCATCTCCCTGACCTCAGAAAAATGCCCTGAACATCGGGTGCTGATTATTTGAGGTGGGAATGGTCCCCATTACTCTCGGGCCACTGAGAGAGGAAGGTCTGCAGCACCAGCAGAGAGCAGCCATGACCTGCAGCTCAGAGGGCTGTGTGTCTTCTGCAGGCAGGACTCTGGCTCCTACTCTAGAGTATTTTTCTCTGTTTTATGAGAGATGTGTTTCAATTTCCTTACTAGCCTGAGGAACCACAGTGTGCCCCTCCCCAGCCTAAGTACCTACAGCCAAGGCTACTGATCCAGTCCCCTGTGGGGATTTTGCTCTCACAAATCCACACTTTTAACTAAAGAACAGTCTGAGCTCCGTAAGAGGTGACAATCACCCCTGTGCAAAATGCCTCATAAACTAGCAGCTTTTCCTGTAATGCAGAGCCATTTGTTCAAATGACAGGAAGGGTGATGTTGGTTTGGGAATTAGTCTCCTGGGCACATTTTGTAATCCGTGGCTATGTAAAAGAGCGGGCAAGATGTTGCAGACACTGAATCCCTGTTTCTCCAGGGAAACATCAAAGACAAGTTTTCAATTCTCTCAGTGTTTCTGATTGACTAGTTTGAAACTCTCCTGTGCTCAGCAATTTGGCTTTTGGACATTCCCATCTGCATGCCTGATTTTCCTGTCTTTGATGGAGAGTGACTGTCACCCCACTGTCGCAGGCAAAGTAGGAGATTCAGACAAAGTTTATTAAAGAAATCCTCCTACTGAATCACAGGGAACAGAAAGGACCCCCTTGCTTTCTAACTCTGCTACAAAGGATCCAATCTTAGCCCCAGACTCTGTCAATAGTTTATGTGTAAAGTATTGTATAGGTGTAACTGAACCTTCATACAATGTTGTTGCCAGGATTAAGGATGGCAAACCATATATATTTATATAAATATATATATGATTTATTATGATAATGATTAGAAAAAAGTTCTTAATCAGAATTATTAATGACACAGTATAGGAGCCATAACAATATTATAATACTATTATAATATAGTGCACTATGAAGCAATATTGAAGCTACATATATATATATATATCTGCGCCATTGTATTATAGCTAGCAAAACCAATGATGCAGAGATTGATGTCACCCATATCAATGACTGTGGGCAAATCGCTTTCACCCAACCTCAAGGAGTAACACTGAGGGACAGCCTCACTCAAGGGAGGAATTTCCACACGTACACTCCCAGAAGGGATATGTTAGAAGACCCTGCCATTAAAATTTCGGACTGGGCTTTTATAGTATAAAGTGACTGACTGTCCATCATATATCTCCAGGCTGGATGTGTCAGCTCAGCAGCCTTAGACAAGCAGTTGGTATCACTTGTTTCTTCCTTTATCCGGGTGCTTTACCAGGCCTGCCACATCTTCACCTCACAATCAGGATGTTTAAATTTGGGATTGATGAGTCAGACTGATTTCACCATTATTCAACACCAAAAGCAGCATGACTCCTCTTTCTCCATTTACCACTGGTAGCTTTGCAAATTGGGCATTATTTGAGTTGTTCTACCTCATTCCAGGCAGTGCATCCTGCTACAACCACCAAGGCACCCCTACAGATGGCATGGCAGAGAGGGTGCTGGCAACCCTGGTGCCACGAGCTGCACATTAAAACTCTTAAAGCCCAATGTTGGACACCTGCTAAAGTGCTCTCATCTATTGAAAGCAAACAGCCATGTTAGATAGAAAGCTTTGTTTTCTTTCTTGCATTTGGGACAAATCACTCTAGAGCCTATCTCCCCTAAAAAATTACATCTGAAAGAGGTTATTCATGTGGCTTACTAACAGCACTTAAATTTAGGTAGCTAATTTAGCCATCTAAATTAGGAGACTATCCTGCCTCATTTTGCTTGTATGGAGTGTGGGGAAAGAAAAACTCACCCAGAAGCTTTTCAAAGCTGGAACTAAAAGTCAGGGGCTGTTTTCAAGTCATCAGTGGTGGGTTACATTACAATGCAGTGCAACATGTGGATTTTCTGATTTGTCCTCTGAAGGACTCTCACGTCTGCAGTGCTAGGAATAGGCACATATAAGACCAGGCACCTCCTTCCATTAAGTAGTGTATCTGTGTCCTTAAAATGTGACCGTGTGAAGAGGAACAGCATTAGCACTTTTCTACTTGATAATGCAACTCAGCAGTAAGGGAAAGTGTTACATTAGAAAACAGACACTGTTTTTATGTACACTCCATACATCTTCTTTTGAAGCTTCATTCAGCAAATAATTTGGAAGTTGATTCAAAGCCCACATAAAGAAGATCATGTCTTACTATGTACATGTCTTTAAGCAGATGTCTAAGGACATGTCTATTCAGCAAAGCACACTCATATGCATTTAAATCCCACTGGAGGCCAATTTTCCCCCATAAGTGCATTATTGAACTGGGATTTTGAAATACATCATTGCTTCTGTTTGAAATCTTTCCTCACTTTGGAACTCTACTGTTAAAAGAAAAAAAAAACCATATGGAACTAATCATGCACATTTTGTCTAGCAGATAGGCATTATAGCAGACTGTGTTTTCCCTTCAAGTGATTGTCCATATGAGCAGGCAAACTGTGGTGTGCATATAGCTGAACATGCAAGACAAGGTTTTCAGCCATAACAACATTCATACTGATGTACCTCCTGCTTAGTCGCATAATTATGAGATGAGAACACTCATCACTGCCTATCTGCCAGACAAATGAGGCTTCTTTTCTTTTTCCCTTCCCTTCCCTTCCCTTCCCTCTCCCTTTTCCTGCCCTCTCCCTTTTCCTGCCCTCTCCCTTTTCCTGCCCTCTCGCAGACCTTACTATTTTTTAGCTTGTTATCTCTTTATTTGCTTCCATTTAACAATTGGTCCTTCTGTTGACTCCTCAGAAACACAGAGTTCAGACTACAGAAGAGAGATTTCCCATTCTGGCAGATATTCCACATGCTACTACACTGCCCCGGAGAAAATGCTCCTGGGAAGTATATGACTTCCTGAAACTTCAGTACTGGCTTGCAGAGAAGCAAGAGAGGATCAACACTGCAGGATGTCCACAAACCATAACCCCAGGACTAGAAAGGAAGCATCAACCACCACTAATCCTTACATAAGAAGCCTGGAGAGAGAGGACACAGTAAGTAAAGTTGTGCATAGCTACCTTTTTTTTATAATTATAAAGTACAGAGTTCTTTTCACTCTTTGTATACATCTCTGTCTAAATAACTTCTTGTATAAGCTTTTCTATAGTATAACATTGCATTTCAGATATATCCAAAGTTCTTAGTCAAACCACTTCTCATTTCTACCTGATTAAAAAAATCATTGTTCTCTGGTTGTGACTGCAGATCTTTTGTCAGCAGCAGAGGCCACACAACACAGACTAGTGTGTTAAACGTGGGGTTTTTTATATTCTTTGTGTTTTACTCAAACAGGATACATTCTTTCCTCAGCTCTTTATACCCAATACAGAGAGATCATCTGAAAATTACAGTAGCAATCAGCTTGCATTTGAGGTGATCCAAATGTAGCACCCGTAGAATACATGACACAATTTTTAAAGAAGCCTGTAAGTGTCTCTGTTCTCACTCATGTGGTGAGCACTGGGTTCATCCAGAGTGAGACCTTACTCTGACTTAAAGACAAATGGCAGGTTGTTGAACTGTGTAAACCAGATGCCAATAAAGAGAAAACAGTAAAGTTTTATCAGCTCACAAAGTACCCTGGTTCTTTCTCATTAAAAAGTGACGGGTATAGTTCCAACTAAAATTGCTGTGCCTGTGTCATTTTTGTTCATGTCACAACACTGGGCCTACAAGGCAAACTCACCCCAGTTTTTTCACTTAAGGTTTCTTAGCCAGAGGTATTCTGAGCATTTTATTAGCAGTTGTTTGGACTCTAAAGACAATATGTTCATTCCTCCAACTCTTGAAAATAGACCTATGCATTATGCCATAACACTGTCTAACTTACACACACAGAAACACACCTCGTACAGATAGATATGTGTGAATATTATTTTCTGCTGAAAAATTATATTTTAAATATTTTTCAGAGTATGTTAACAGTGTTTCAGAAGGTGAATATTTGAATCACTATAAATGCAAAGATTTGCATCAATCCTTGTCTGTAAATCAAAAGGGGAGAAAAACTCAGGAGTAATACAACTAAAATTTCTCGAATGTGTCCTAAAATACTCTTCTATGCATGAAGATTCTCTGTGACTAAAGGTGTGTATCTCAGCACTCTCCAGTTTTCTGAACTAGTATAGTGGGTATATAATCTGGGAGACTCCAAAGTTCTTCCTTCCATTAGTGTTTTAGCACTGAATTGCATTGCAATTATCCTACCACAAATACTTGTCCAACATGGAATATTGAATGCCAGGAGAAGATAATATGGAGGAACCTAAATTTCCCACAGATGGGTATGAAAGGAGATGATAGGAATTTATGGCAGGGTAAAGTCTGAAACATTTTTGTAATGGCCATTTGGATTAGGGAGGTAATTGTAGTGTCAAATGCACTTCCAGCAGAGGGAGATGGAAAAGTTAGATTTTACTTTTTTTTTTAGAGCTCTGATTTTTCCTATGGCTGTACTTGTGAGTGGGTGTAAAACTATTCCCTTAATACATATGTAAGAGAATGAAAAGGATATGTTACCAACACTGTAACCAAACATTCATATTTTACAGTCCCAGCTGGGACTGAATGAATATTTTATGAACTGAAAAGGTAATTTGGGTTCACTTGGCACAATTCACATGTCAGATGATTTGGAGCTGGCCTCAATTTGAGCTGCAGTGAATGAGTGAGAAAGGAATGGAAGGCAGTAGGTGTGTGTGGCTCTTTGTATGCTGCAGTACTTGGCCTTGAAAATTCTCACTGAAGTTGCCAATTTTATATAAAATACCTAAAATAATCAGCCCAATGACTCAAACTCATTTGCTCTGTCAGCAGGTCATGTCACCTACAGCAATGACCATGCTATAGGTATGCTTAGACCCTAATTATGGCCAAAGGTGAACAGACTTATTTCACCAGGAAAAAGCAGCAATGATGGTGTTTGCCCTTGCTTCATAACTTCATACCAGAGTGGGGAGTAAACAGTCCTTTGAGAGAGAGCAACCACTGAGCCAAATATGAATCAGCTCTATTAATCAAGTAATGAAAAATGCCTGAAAGCACATCACATTTCAACTTTTCAGTGGTCTACAATACAGGGAGGTTGGGTTGATTTGCAATATTTTCCTTTTTTGGCTGCGTCAGTGAGAAATCAATTGTTTGAAAACCATGAGTGGTTAGAAACTCTCAATCAGCTTGTGATTAATAGAGAACAGGAATATAGCAAAAATCTTATTTTCTACTTTTCAGTGGGTATGTTAAATATTTTATCCTGCTGTTCAATTTGATCATTCTGACAACTTTCTGTATAAGATGCAGAACTCTCCATGTGGAATAAATATTAACTCATCTCCCTTACACAGAATAAAAAGAACAGAGATGGATGGGCTTGTGCCTGTAAGCAGAAAAACTGTGTTGCACTCTCAGAAAATGTGAAGAGAACAATGTCTAAAGAAATTATTCTGGAGTGATTAAATAATTATATAAGATGTGAAAATTAATTTTTTTTTCTTGGTTCTTATGTTTACCTTCATCTGATTTTCCAAACTGGTTTTTGCTTATAGATATTCGGAACACCAAAAATTTTAAAAAGCCAGTGTGGATATGGGTGTATGTGTTTGACAAATATGACAAGTAGCACTTCATTAATAGTTCTAATTCTCAATCTTTGCACTCTTGGTAACAAATGCATAAAAGATAAGTGTTACATATAATTCTTTGGTTGCTTCAGTCATTATTCAATGAGGCTGCAAAGGTTAAATATGCGACTGAAAGTAGTAGATCTATATCTTATTTGAAAAAGTTCAATATCAAGTCAGAGGCATTCAAACAAGCCCTAGTTTGACTTGTAAAAAAATAAAATATCTCTTTTATATGTCTCAATAATATTTCATTTTTAATTTAGGAATATTATTGCTCTTTATCATGGAAAATTAAAATATGATAAAATCACAGTAAGATTTCAGCAGCTTTTCTCTTTAGGATGAAAAGCACGTCCTACTCTCCCTTCTCTATAACTGAGAAATTACCACTGACACTGAAGGCACACAGTAGACCACGAGCTAAGGCAAGAACCAAGATGAGTTTCTCTGTGAACCTGTATCCTAGCCACCAGATAAGGTAACTTTTATTCCAGTGGCAAATATTCAATCTTTATTATGTGTATTGCAGACAATCTAGGAAGCTCAAAGCAGGGGGCTGAAACCTATTGTTTAGGCACTCTGAGAACAAAAACCAAAAATACAGTGTATCAGGGGAAAATGGAACATGACAGAACAGTGCACAGCAGCATATTTTTTTCTGAGGGCATTTTTCCTTTGTTTGCCACATATCCTGACAATACTTCAGCCTTAAGATAAATTTGACAGCCTTTAAGCCTGTTTGGACAACTGTTGATAAAAGAACAATTTCTGAAGTAACCAGCAGCCCACAGTAGCTACCCAATATGTAGCAGAGCCACAAGTGCTGACATCATTGCAATTTTCTCCACAAAATCAGTAATGACTGGAAAGGTCAACATAATTCAATTATACTTTGAAGCTAAAGTCTTTTACTGATGTCATATTGAAGGAGAATGATCTCAAACAACACTTATGACACTCAAGAAATATAACCTAACAGCCCTCTGCAGGCTCTGCTCAGCAGAGTAAAGCCCTAGAATGAAAAAGGTTCACTCATTTTTTCTGAGTTTTTGTAGCATCTCTGATAGATAACAGTATTAACATCATGGCCAGCCTTATCTGTCAGGACCAGCAACTTTCACTGCGGAAGCTAAATTTAAGTTATTAATGTATGACGTGATAAACATTGCAAGGACCTTTGGTAGTGCATGTCCCTGCATATTACAAATGCTCACAGCTCTGAAGAACCAAGTGAAGCTGCAGTGCAAGCAGTGCACATCCAAGGAAAGGAACATGAAGCTTGGGCATCATCTCAGGTGCCTGGGAGAACTGAAATCCTGCGGGCAAAAGGGCAGCAGACCTCGGTCTGGCCCCAGCCAGAGCCTGACAGCACTGAGTCACTGGGTGATACCACGACAACCACAGCCTTACAGACACCATAAGGGGCACTTAAGATGCTTTGCTTTTTTTTTTTTTTTTTTTTTTTTTTTTTTTTTTAATTTGAGGTTTATACATAGGAAGACATATGGGAAATGACTGGGCTTGTGAAATAAAGCTCAGGTGAGGATTTGCATTGAACCTAGTTATTACAGGGGCCTCTGGTGGTCTAGTGGTTAGAGTGCCTGACTCTCACCTCTGCAACCCGGGTTCGATTCCCGGCCCCCTGGGCAGGTGGAGCTCGTCAGCCGTGGAAGGCAATCCACCTAAGAGAAGGTCACTCTAAACAAACCTACATCCTAGGGACCTCACTGCCACTGTCCAAGCTTTGCTCGGCCCCGGCAGATGAACCTCAGGACTAAAGGGTGGGCTCAGTTCAGCGCACACTGTGTCTCACCTAAAAAATCCACTGCGCAAGCTGGAAGGGTTAATGACCTTTCCCAAAAATCTTCGCTCGCGAAGACTGGCCATTAAAATTAAATTTAAAGTTATTACATTAGACTACTGCAACAGAATCACTGAATCAAAGAATCATTTGGAAAAGACCCTAAGATCTAACTGTTAACCCAGCACTGCCAGGTCCAGCACTAAGCCATGTTCCTAAGTGAAACATCACATATTTTAAATACCTCCAGGGATGGTGACTCAGCAACTCCCTGGGCATCTTGTTCCAATGCTTGTTAACACCTCTGGTGAAGAAACTGTATCTAAAATTCAATCAAAACCTCCCCTGGCAGAATTTGAGGCTGTTTCCTTTTGTTCTGCCAGTTATTACTTGGGAGAAGATACCACACTCCACCTGTCTAAAACCTCCTGTCAGGTAGTTGAAGAGAGCAATAAGATCTCCCCCAAGCCCCTATTTCTCCAGGCTGAGCACATCCAGCTCCCTCAGTCGCTCCTCATAAAACAGAAGTGGCCCCAAGACTGAGCCCTGGGGAACACCACTGGTGACCAGCTGGCACTGGATGTAACTCCATTCCCCACCACTCTCTGGACCCGGCTGTCCCTCCAGTTTTTCTACCAGCAAAGAGCGCACCTGTCCAAGACACAAGCAGACAGATTCTCCAGAAGAATGCTGTGGGAAAGTGTCAAAGGCTTTACTAAACTACAGGGAAACAAAGCCTCTTCCTCATCTACTAAGCAGCTCTTCTTGTCATGGGAGGAGATCAGGTTACTCAGTGAAGCCTTATGTTAAGTACCTCAGAATCTTCCTCCTTCTCCTTCTTTGTCACTGTGCTTCCTCCCAACCAGCAAAGGCTGAAGATTCTCCTGAGCCCTCCTTTTGTTGCTAATGGACTTACGGAAACATTTTTTAGTCTTTTACAGCACTGGACAAATTAACTTCCAGTCAGGCTTTGGCTCTTCCAGTTTTCTCCCTGCATAACCCCACGACAGCTTGAAGTCCTCCTGAGTGGCTGCTCCTCCTTCCAAAGGTCATAAACTCTCTGGTTCCATCTGAGTTTCATCTCAGTTCCATCCAAAGCCCAGGCTGGCAGGGTGGGGTCACCATGGGGCTCTGGCACCTGTGACATCAGAGGGGACAAGTCCCCAGGTGCCCCATCTGGCAGTGTAACCACCATTTCCCTGCCACTCAGCCCTGCTGAGCCCCTTCTCTCCATCCTCCTCTTCCAGGCCATGGCTCTGAGCGTCACCCAAATCCTCATGGTGCTGGGTGTCCTACAATTCACGCTGCTGATGGATGACCAGTCAGTCAAGGTCACGGAAGAGCTCCTGAAGCAGCATGAGGGGCGTCTGAATCAGGAGATGGCTTGGCTGAAGGAGATGGAGAAGAGCATCCAGGAGCAGACCAGACTCAGTGAGGAAAGCTTGCTCCTCTCTGCCTGCCAGCAGTGGTGGTTCTGGGCCTTTGCTGAAATCCTCCTCGTGATTTTTGGGTTCTACTGGCTGCCCAAGCAGAAGAGCGCTGGCTCTGATGGCAGCAGCCAGTGGGGAAACTCCAGCAGTGCCCAGGAGCAGAGAAAGGAGAAGGACTGGGAAGATAAACCAGACCCTTACAACACTCAAGATAAGCCCCTGGATAAGGTAGGGACCTCTGGTGTTTTTGCCAAGCCCTTCCCAAGAACAGCTTTCTGATGGCTGCATCCAGCCATGAGAGCAGACAGTGCCTACAAAGTCCTGGCACCCTCAAGGACAACATCACCAACCTCTTGCTGTTCATGTCCCTGAGACCATCCTTTGTGCACTTTTTCCACTAGGGCTCAGCACCGTGGTGTGTCTGCCAGCGAGACACTCCTACGGCCATTTGCAGCACCCACCGGAGAACGTGCTGTGCTTCCACCTCTGCTGCCTGACAAGCCACATCCTTGCTTCCTGTGCAGCCTCTGCACCTGCTGCCAGTCCTGATGCTCCCCCTGCCGGGAGGAGTGAGAGAGATTCACCTTTTGTGCATGTTACTAAAATTGTTAGTTTGATTTGAGAAATGTTTTATCTGTGGGTGTCTGGGCAAGACTGTTGGAGGACGGTACCCCTTGGCTCCATCTCCTCTCTCTAACAAAGAGATGAAGTTTGTGCTCCAATTTATGTTTGCAGTGATTACACTTGTGCTGAGGTGCTTAGCACCTCCCTGTCTTCTCCTGGTGTTCTTGACATCTCTTCCTCCCCGTATCCTTTCCCATGTCCTGGAACGCTTCTAAACTGGCTTCAAAAGATGCTGCTGAAATCAGCAGCTCCATCACGGGGTCTTGCTGCTTGTCCTTGAGCTGTTCCTGTTAGGAGGGTGGTCCCATCAAATAAACCGCCAAAGGCCTGCAGAGGTCATCGTGTTACCTATTTCTGACCATCAGATCCTGACCCACAGCTGGAGGCTCAGCCACCTCTGGACACAGTTTGAAGGCTGCTGGGAGATGGCCGTGTATACACAGACCTCCACAGACCTGATTTTTTCCTGCACTCCTCCTCCTAAGTGGGAATATTGCCTGTGTCTCCCAGGCAGCTGAGAAGGTCACTCTTGGTACAGGCAAATCCGTGTCTGTGGCTCAGGTGTCCAGGCTTGGCAGAGCTGGAGCTGCAGGGGAGGCCTGTGAGAAAAGGCAAAATGCTGCCCAGCAGAGGAAGGAGAGAGGAGAGAAGTGTGAGGAACAGTGAGAAGGAGGAGGAGGAGGAGAGGGAGAAGGAGGAGAAAGAAACAGTAGTAATAAATGCTTTTAGGAGTAAACTGCCACGGCAATCTATTATTATTAGCTTTTCATATCTTTAATAAAGTTTTAGACTTTTATAGTCTCATGTGTCAAGAGACCTGAGTATGTTCTCATGGTCGTCTTTCTGGATGTCAGTCCTGAAAAGAGGCATACCAGTTCCCTGTGCCTATTGAACAGGTAAGCTCCTCCTCCCACAGAGGATCAATTCACCTCTCTGTCCACTCTGCAAATGAAAAGAAGGGCTTGGAGCAGGACCAAGGCTCTTTGAAGTGTTTTCAGTGATTTCACCAGCATGACCACCCTTTCCAAAAGCAGGGTGCACCCAAGGACAGGCATAAGAAGCAGCCCATGTTGCTGCCTCTTCTTATAGGATTAGCCTGGCCCAGTCACATGGACACCTCATCTTATTCTATGAGCATTTACTGTCTTTACTACGAGAAAAAAAAATATTAGTGTCAAATAAATGAAAAGTGTTTTCATTCCGGTCTCCATTAAACACAGCAAATTTCAAGGCAACCAGAGTTAGTATGTACAATTGAGAGCACATGTCAGCCCATAAACAAAATACAATATGCATTTTTAATTCTGTGAGAGTGTCACTACTCCAGAGCATCATTGGCACTTCAATTAAAATGCCTCAAAGGAAAGAATAACAGAGATGCCTGGATGAAGGGATAGAATGAACCCTAAGCAGGTTTGCCACTGATACGAGGCTGGAGGGAGTTGCTGATACACCTGAAGGCTGTGCTGCCATTCAGTGGGACCTTGATAGGCTGCAGAGCTGGGCAGAAAGCAACCTAATGAGGTTCAACAAGGGCAAGTGCAGGGTCCTGCACCTGGGGAGGGATAACCCCAAGTACCAGTACAGGTTGGGGGCCGACCTACTCGAGAGCAGCTCTGCAGAGAAGGACCTGGGGATCTTGGTAGATGACAAGTTGACCATGAGCTGGCAGTCTGCTCCGGGGCCAGGAGGGCCAATTGTATCCTGGGGTACATCAGGAGGAGCGTGGTCAGTGGATAGAGGGAGGGGATTCTCCCCTTCTGCTCAGCCCTGGTGAAGTCACATCTGGAGTGTTGTATCCAGTTCTGGGTTCCTCAGCACAAAAAACACAAGGAGCTACTGGAGGGCCCAGTAGAGGCAACAAAGATGATGAGGGGTCTGGAGCATCTCTCTTATGAGGAGAGACTGTGGGAGCTGGGCCTGTTTCCTCTGGAGAAGGGAAGACTGAGAGGGGATCTCGTCAATACATTTAAATATCTCAAATGCGGGTTCCAAGAGGATGGTGCCACACTCTTTTTCAGTTGTGCCCAGCAACAGGACAAGGAGCAATGACTATAAAGTAAAACACAGGAAGTTCCTCCTCAACATGAGGAAGAACTTCTTTACGGAGAGGGTGATTGTGGAGTCTCCCTCTCTGAAGACATTCAGAACCCACCTGGATGCATTCCTGTGTCACCTGCTCCAGGTGCCTGGGCAGGGGGGCTGGAACAGATGATCTCTAGATCATCTCCCTTCCAACCCAAATGATTCTGCGATTCTATGAACTTGAAAAATTATATGAAATTGCTTGTGTATGAAAATGCCAAAAAGAAGCACAAAATACAAAACACAAATCTTTTCTTTCCTTTCTCCTTTCTCCTTTCCCTTTCCCTTCCCTCCCCTCCCTTCCTTTCCCCTTCCGTAGTTCTCTAAGTTCCCGAGGCCAATGTTATAAATACTCCAACCGGCAATTTCTAACAGAGCAGTCGCTTTTTTGCCAGGATACGAGGATTTTCCATGTGCACTTGGGGAATCCCACAGCGGGCGCCGGGCCTGGCATTGCGAGGACGTCCCGCCAGGGGTCCCCCTTGCACCAGATCCTGAGCACAGATCTGTTTGTGCGGGTCGAGCTGGAAAATCTCCGTGAATTCCCTTTAAAAGATTTTACATATAACTACGTAAATATTGCTGCATAATCATTTGTTCACCAGAGAAGACAGTTTTAAAGTAGTTCCTCCATTTTGAATTATAACGTTCCTTGAAAGGACATAATTTGCTGATTAGAGATATGTTTGTTTAGCTGCAGCGCCTGAAGCCTCAAATTTGATTGAGTTCGTTCTAATCACAGAACTGATCTTATTTTCAGTAACATGGAGCTGTTTGTTCCAAATGCATTTATGAATTCTTATCTCAGTTGTGTCACATGCTGGAAGTGATAGTACTCTTCCTAATTCCTAACATTATAAAACCTACACAGAGGAGAAAGTGCTGGAAGAAGGAAGCATCTTTTGAATTTCTATAAACTAAATGGGCTTAATTTCAAGTGTCTTTAATCCTGCTTATGCTGCCGTAAGGGACAGGCTCCAAAACCACACATGATCCTTGTGCCTCTGACATGAAAGACCTGTCAATTCTCACACAATGAGTGTGACACAAATACACTTGGCTCATGTCACACAGCTTCTGCCTATGGTTACATCTCCCATGTTTGCAATGCTTTATCGTGTTTTCCTTCTCACTAGGTGCAACCTACCTCCAGAAGGAGCTGTTGCAACTGCCATTCCTTGTTCTTCCAGCCTATAGGACGAGGGAGGAGAAAATATATTAAGTGAGGCAGTGGCACTTCACAGCACGTTTTCCTGGCTCCTGTACCACCCCTTCTGCCCAAGGATCAGAGTACCTGCCCACCCCCTGCTTGAAACATTTTGTGAGAATTAAAAATGAGCTTTCTGGGCCTTCAAGGCAAGCACCAAAGAGGGTAACCTTTTAACAAAGCAAGGCAGGGAGACTTTTTGGTGATGACAGAAATTGCACCTGGAAAATCACCTTTTACAGAACTTACCTTGTCTCTGCTGCATACTGGAGACAGAGATGGCTTTTCAGAAATCTTCATTTTCAGCCAAGGATTAGAGTGGAACCTACAATGAATTAACTATTAATGTTAGAAACACATGTAATCCTCTGTCCCAAACTCATATGTTGAACAGTCATGCCTGTGGGCCATAAGGTGAAGGACAGAGACCCAACAATATACGAAGTTAGCAACAAGATGTTGCTTGAGCATCACAGAGCTCCTTTGCCAGCCCACTTGCAGCCTGCCTGTGAGCTGAGAGTGTCCATGCTCTCCAGGACATGTGTGCCAGGGATATGTTCCTGGAAGAGTAAGAGGTTCATTATCTTGTACCAGAAGTTACTGGTCTTTAGGTGCTATTTTAGGAAGAGGTCATCAGTGGGCCATAAAATGCTTGGAACATGTCCTCTCTCACCCCTCTCTGTGGCAACGGTGGGGAGAATACCAGTGGAAAATTCCTGTGCATAATGAGGTCAGATACATTAGTTTTCCATCTTTTTTAACTACCCAAGCAGTGAAAAGCAATGGGAGTGACAGCTAACGCTGATCCAGACACAGCTCTGGGAAACATTATGCAGGAATAGGACCTTGACGTAAACAGGAGTCCAGGATTTTAATGCAAATGGGAGTCAAGCCCACTGAAAACATCAGGCTGATCTCCTCCTGAGATAGGGTTGTTCTAATCAGAAGAATTATTTGAAACTTAACTTCATCTCCTGAACACAACAATACCTAAATCTAAAGGTGAGTGTGGGAACATGTGACTAAGTACACCAGCGTGGGCCTTGGAGCCTCAGAGCCAGCGTGGGCTGGAGGGCAAAGTGACATTAAAAAGAGGGAACAATTTGTACTCTGGCTAACATGCAGAGGTTTAATTTCTCCACAGTAGGTAACAAGCACCGACATCTGTGAAAGTCACTGTGCATTGAATAACAAGTATCCAAATGTGGGGCATCCAGAAAGTCGGCCAGTCCAGCCCCGCCAGCATCAGCAGCTGCACTTCCAAGCACAAAGTTTTCATTGCAGTGATTGTTGATGGAGCCCAGCAACCTTT